CCATAGATATGGTGGATGTGGAGCCATAGATATGGTGGATGTGGAGCCATAGATATGGTGGATGTGGAGCCATAGATATGGTGGATATGGAGCCATAGATATGGTGGATATGGAGCCATAGATATGGTGGATATGGAGCCATAGATATGGTGGATGTAGAGCCATAGATATGGTGGATGTAGAGCCATAGATATGGTGGATATGGAGCCATAGATATGGTGGATGTAGAGCCATAGATATGGTGGATGTAGAGCCATAGATATGGTGGATGTAGAGCCATAGATATGGTGGATGTAGAGCCATAGATATGGTGGATGTAGAGCCATAGATATGGTGGATATGGAGCCATAGATATGGTGGATGTAGAGCCATAGATATGGTGGATGTAGAGCCATAGATATGGTGGATGTAGAGCCATAGATATGGTGGATGTAGAGCCATAGATATGGTGGATGTGGAGCCATAGATATGGTGGAATGTAGAGCCATAGATATGGTGGATGTGGAGCCATAGATATGGTGGATGTGGAGCCATAGATATGGTGGATGTGGAGCCATAGATATGGTGGATGTGGAGCCATAGATATGGTGGATGTGGAGCCATAGATATGGTGGATGTGGAGCCATAGATATGGTGGATGTGGAGCCATAGATATGGTGGATATGGAGCCATAGATATGGTGGATGTGGAGCCATAGATATGGTGGATGTAGAGCCATAGATATGGTGGATGTGGAGCCATAGATATGGTGGATTTGGAGCTATAGATATGGTGGGTGTAGAGCCATAGATATGGTGGGTGTAGAGCCATAGATATGGTGGATGTAGAGCCATAGATATGGTGGATGTAGAGCCATAGATATGATGGATGTGGAGCCATAGTTATGATGAATATGGTATCAGATAAGGTGGATATTGTATCATAGATAAGGTGGACATTGTATCATAGATATGGTGAACATTGTATCATATAGTTGACAGGGTGCCATAGATACGTTTATAATGATATTGATAAGCTGGATACGATAACTTTGCCTTGAGAGATATAGTGCCGTCGATACGGTGATTTAATCATAGCTATGGTGGACATGCCATATAAACAATGTACAAGGTGCCATAGCGAATATGGTGCCATAGTTCTAAATATAACACTAACTGCGGTGTATATGATGCCATAGATAAAACAACATAAAAATTGTGAGTTAGCTAGCTAGCTCTCTGAGCAAGTCTTTATGTGATGACATTTATGGTGATTATGGTGCCATAGGTAAAGCAAGTTATCAACTGGCAGCACTACAAGGAAGTAGCTGGGCGAAGGCCTACCTGCCAGGTACTTCCTGTGCGCTGATGTGAGAAACAAAGGGGAAAATGAATGCTGGTGACAATAAGAGATTCACACGAAATAATTGGTAGTGACTGGCCTACTTAGTGGTTTTCAAAAACGTGTTCACATAATGAAGCAATTGCTAGTGACTATCGTACTCTTTGGTTTCAAAACGGGTCCACAAAAAACAAATGCTAGTGACTGGTGTACTCGCTGTTTCAAAACAGGTTCACAAAAAACAATTGCTAGTGACATGAGTACTCGGTGGTTTTCAAAACAGATTCTGACACTGTAACTACTGCCACCTACAGGCATTGTCACTAGTTATAAATACATGTTTAGTAACAAACGCCCATATTGTGTCTTTCAAACACGTTCACATTGAAACAAAGGCTAATAATTAAGAAATAAACCAGCCTGGTGGCTTAAATCACGGTCAGCACTAACAAATGATAATTAAAGAATAGGCCTACCAGGCAGGGTTTAAAATAAACACACCGAAATTAATAGCTAAACAAAATGGGTTACACAACGGTTTTCAATGGTTTAAAACTCACCTTCCCACACAAACGTTAATGAAAAAAAGGCCAACCAATTTATTTAAAACAAGCATTCATGCAGTAAAACAAACTAGGGATTGAAGAACACACCACTTGATGTTTTTCAGCCAAGGTTGACAGTGATGAAGGAGTCAATATGTCACATCTAAATAATAAACATTACTTCATATAGTGACCTCCCAACTGCTGCATTAGACATATTACCTGTATTTATTATACACGCTTAATACCTGTAGGATCCAGTTTATATATATATATATATATATATATATATATATATATATATATATATATTATATATATATACATACATACATACATACATACATACATACATACATACACACACACACACACACACACACACACACACACACACACACACACACACACACACACACACACACACACACACACACACACACACAAATTATCACCACGAACACGTGGTATTGAATAAATAACACTGCGACTAGCCGAGGATTCGAACCCATGTTGTTTTAGCCCTGCCTTGTGGTGATCGAAAATCACATGACGCCTTAGCCCACTGGACCACACAATCCTACAAAAACCAAGCACCCAGCCAAGCGAGATGTGTTACTCTTGGTCCGAGGACTTACGGTGGTGTGGGTGACTCTAGGCTAATTTCATTCTTATCCCCGTTTGGTGTATCAGCTTCCACAGGCAGTATATATAGTATTGTGACCACGAACAAGTGGTTACCACAAGGCAGGACCAAAACGACATGGGTTAGAATCCTCGGCCAGTAGCAGTGTTATTGATTATATATGATATATATATATAATATATATATATATATATATATATATATATATATATATATATATATATATATATATATTATATAAATGAATACACACATACAAGTACATATAATTACAATATACATGATATTTACAATGAATGATTCTTAACTATAGTTAAGGAAGAGTTAATGAAGACGTTAATATCATGCATATTAGCAGTAGTAACTCAAGAGTAACACTGTACAGGAGTTACACGGTAACAGTGATGTCACAGATAATGTAACTTTTTGACAGAGGACCTGGGGCACCATGAATAGGGCGTCATGAATGGAGTAGGACTGGACGGGACATGTTGGGGTGGGGCTGGACGGGACAGGTTGGGATGGGACTGGACGGGACAGGTTGGGATGGGACTGGACGGGACAGGTTGGGGTGGGACTGGACGGGACAGGTTGGGATGGGACTGGACGGGACATGTTGGGGTGGGGCTGGACGGGACAGGTTGGGGTGGGGCTGGACGGGACAGGTTGGGGTGGGACTGGACGGGACAGGTTGGGATGGGACTGGACGGGACAGGTTGGGGTGGGACTGGACGGGACAGGTTGGGGTGGGACTGGACGGGACATGTTGGGGTGGGACTGGACGGGACATGTTGGGGCGGGACTGGACGGGACATGCTGGGGTGGGACTGGACGGGACATGTTGGGGTGGGACTGGACGGGACATGTTGGGGTGGGACTGGACGGGACAGGATGGGGTGGGACTGGACGGGACAGGTTGGGGTGGGACTGGACGGGACAGATTGGGGTGGGACTGGACGGGACAGGTTGGGGTGGGACTGGACGGGACAGGTTGGGATGGGACTGGACGTGACAGGTTGGGGTGGGACTGGACGGGACAGGTTGGGATGGGACTGGACGGGACAGGTTGGGGGTGAGACTGGACGGGACAGGTTGGGGTGAGACTGGACGGGACAGGTTGGGGTGAGACTGGACGGGACAGATTGGGGTGGGGTGGGACTGGACGGGACATGTTGGGGTGGGACTGGACGGGATAGGTTGGGGTGGGACTGGACGGGATAGGTTGGGGTGGGACTGGACGGGACAGGTTGGGGTGGGACTGGACGGGACAGGTTGGGGTGGGACTGGACGGGACAGGTTGGGATGGGACTGGACGGGACAGGTTGGGGTGGGACTGGACGGGACAGGTTGGGGTGGACTGGACGGGACAGGTTGGGATGGGACTGGACGGGACAGGTTGGGGTGGGACTGGACGGAACATGTTGGGGTGGGACTGGACGGAACATGTTGGGGTGGGACTGGACGGAACATGCTGGGGTGGGACTGGACGGAACATGCTGGGGTGGGACTGGACGGGACAGGATGGGGTGGGACAGGATGAGGTGGGACAGGATGGGAGGGACGGCTGGGGTAGGAGCGTGGTAGTAACAGCGCAAGTTGTTCTATATTACATTTTGAGAGAGACGTCAATACATATATCCTAAGTATTCTATTGCATTTCTTTAGTTTATTTATCTAAGACATAAAAGAAGAGAATATTGAGAAATCAGTTTGAATTTATAATAATAAAATATTTCAAGCATCAAATAAAAAAAACTTAAAACACTGAAAGTTCAATAAGTGGTCAGTTCCCACGCGCTTCCCAATGTCGTGTCTATTTATGCATGCGACTGAGGTGTTGAACGGGTTCAGGGAGTCATTAAAGGGATCTGAATTTGACATGTATGGTATAATCTTTTCATGCTGCCGTGAAGTTGGGTTGAGTCCCACCCGAATTCAGGTTATAATGAAGACTCTTGGGAGGGTACAACTAGGGATATGAAAAAAAAATTGAAAGCACACACAAAAACCTCTTACCAAAAAAAGTCAAAATTATAATCATCAATAATTACACGCACACACACTTCAAAGAACCCTTTACACAACACTATACTGGAAGATAACTACACTCCTGGCTACATTACAGAGGAAGCTAGTTTAGAATCTGCCATGCGTGTTATTGTCTAGTAGGAACCCCACGCTGGAGGGAGGCGTCGCTAGGAGGGTGATGTTATGACGTCGTGCACAGTTGGTTAGATCACGTTACGGGGGAGTTGGGTGGGCATCTACACCAGCGTGAGGAAAAATTGGAGGTAGTAGAACAACAGCAACAGCAGCAGCAGCAGCAGCAGCAGCAGCTCAAATCACACCAGTAGAAGTAGTAGTAGCCAGGAGACAGCAGAAACCCCACTACCACCGCCACCACTACCGACGACTGTCGCTCCAGGCACAACATCCGTCACTCTAGGACTGTAACACAACGGGGGTAAAAAATGGAACGCGTCACTTACTCTCACCTGGCTGAAAATTGCCAAGCTCAATTTGTTTACTGGTGTCGGTCTTGTTGGGGACGCCACAGAAGTTCTTCTCAGCCAGCCAGGCCAGCAGCACCAGTGCAGGGAACATTAGCACCGTGACCAGCGCCTCCCACACCTCCACCTCGTCCGCAGACACCGCCACTAGGATGATCAGCAGCCATAAGTACGCTACCACCGAGAACACCGCCGTCACTCCAAACACCTGTAGCAGAGTGCCAAGGAAGAAGTGTTACTACTTGCGAAGGATGGAAGCAGTTCTAATGAGGCACAGGCCAGGTGTGCACAGACTAATTCAATACCATCATCACTTTCAGTCAGTACTAATGTGATTACATATTACGTATTGCACTTATGGGACAAACTATATTCAAGGTATCCTATCGTCAGTGTAATTACTGCAGCGGAGCTATACTCGAGGTGTCCCGTCTTCAATGTGTAAAGTTGAACATTAAAATGGTATAAAATACCGACAGATTGTTAGGTAAGACACATATGCAACAGTTAGGTATCTTTATTTTGAAACGTTTCGCCTACACAGTAGGCTTCTTCAGTCAAGTACAGAAAAGTTGATAGAAGCAGAAGATACTTGAAGACGATGTAATCAGTCCATCACCCTTAAAGTTTTGAGGTGGTCAGTCCCTCAGTCTGGAGAAGAGCATTGTTCCGTTGTCTGAAACAATATGAAGTTGAAGTGACAGAATCGGGCCTTATATAGTCCCAGGAGGTGAGACGTAGGTTGATTTGGGAGGGCAGGTCCTTCTCAACCCCAGCCGTTCTCACTAGTAGAGGTTGTCGAAGTAGATGGTCTGTACCAAGATACCCTTGTGTTGCAGTGTCTGACAGAATGAACATTAAAATGGTTATAAAATACCGACAGATTGTTAGGTAAGACACATATGCAACAGTTAGGTATCTTTATTTTGAAACGTTTCGCCTACACAGTAGGCTTCTTCAGTCAAGTACAGAAAAGTTGATAGAAGCAGAAGATACTTGAAGACGATGTAATCAGTCCATCACCCTTAAAGTTTTGAGGTGGTCAGTCCCTCAGTCTGGAGAAGAGCATTGTTCCGTTGTCTGAAACAATATGAAGTTGAAGTGACAGAATCGGGCCTTATATAGTCCCAGGAGGTGAGACGTAGGTTGATTTGGGAGGGCAGGTCCTTCTCAACCCCAGCCGTTCTCACTAGTAGAGGTTGTCGAAGTAGATGGTCTGTACCAAGATACCCTTGTGTTGCAGTGTCTGACAGAATGAACATTAAAATGGTATAAAATACCGACAGATTGTTAGGTAAGACACATATGCAACAGTTAGGTATCTTTATTTTGAAACGTTTCGCCTACACAGTAGGCTTCTTCAGTCAAGTACAGAAAAGTTGATAGAAGCAGAAGATACTTGAAGACGATGTAATCAGTCCATCACCCTTAAAGTTTTGAGGTGGTCAGTCCCTCAGTCTGGAGAAGAGCATTGTTCCGTTGTCTGAAACAATATGAAGTTGAAGTGACAGAATCGGGCCTTATATAGTCCCAGGAGGTGAGACGTAGGTTGATTTGGGAGGGCAGGTCCTTCTCAACCCCAGCCGTTCTCACTAGTAGAGGTTGTCGAAGTAGATGGTCTGTACCAAGATACCCTTGTGTTGCAGTGTCTGACAGAATGAACATTAAAATGGTATAAAATACCGACAGATTGTTAGGTAAGACACATATGCAACAGTTAGGTATCTTTATTTTGAAACGTTGGTACAGACCATCTACTTCGACAACCTCTACTAGTGAGAACGGCTGGGGTTGAGAAGGACCTGCCCTCCCAAATCAACCTACGTCTCACCTCCTGGGACTATATAAGGCCCGATTCTGTCACTTCAACTTCATATTGTTTCAGACAACGGAACAATGCTCTTCTCCAGACTGAGGGACTGACCACCTCAAAACTTTAAGGGTGATGGACTGATTACATCGTCTTCAAGTATCTTCTGCTTCTATCAACTTTTCTGTACTTGACTGAAGAAGCCTACTGTGTAGGCGAAACGTTTCAAAATAAAGATACCTAACTGTTGCATATGTGTCTTACCTAACAATGTGTAAAGTTACTGGGGCAGAGCTATGCTAGGGGTGTGCAGTCGTCAGTGTTTCAAATTACCCTACAATTTATTTACATTTCAAGTGGTTGTAGCATTTACTACCTTCAGGTACAGTGTCTTAGAGGAAGTTAGACTGGGACAAGAATACTGCAGCTTACAATGGGAAGCTCTGGCATCATGCCGTGCAGTATTTAAGAGTTCATTAACCTATGAAATTTAAAAATATTGCAAAAATATATGTTTTCAATATCTCTCACTCTTCCTTTTTGAATTCTATTCTATAATTCTCTACATTACTTTTCTTTATTATAAAGTCCAATTTGATAAAAAAAATGTAAAACTAATAAACTGGCATGTATGAATCCTAAATTTCACACAAAAATACATCCACTAAAGATAAACCAATGTTTCAGTGGTTGAAGCCGACCTAAAGAGGCATTCTCTAGTTATATTTAGAAAAATCAGCAATATAAAATATACATAGCTCAAAGTGAAAGCCAAACTTTCTTTTAATAAAGACCATCTATCAGAGAAGACGTTCTCCAGTAATTGCTCTGAATCCAACAAATCCATTATTTTAACAATTAAAATATGATTTTTTCACCTAAACAGCACAAACTTATATGATATCTTCCTTATGGAATTCATCAGTGTTGATAATTTGAGGCTGAAAACATGAGGCATTCTTCAGTTAATGAGCCTTTATCTTTGATATACTTTTGATGAGTTTCCAGAATCTTACTACTCTCGGAGTTCAGCCCTGGGCCAGGCTCGTCTGGTGCTTGCCTGGTGAACTAGGCTGTTGCCGCCGGAGACCCGCTGCCCCACATGGAATAGAACGGAAATCTTAATTTATTTAATAAAACTAGTGAACTGGGACCTATGCAGCACAAGAAAAAGTGTGAACGTTGCATTCTGTGAAGCACACCAGGGCTGAAAATCTGAAGCCGATCAGGAGAGGCACTCTCCACTTATCACACGGATTCCATTAATTCCAAATTTCATGAACTAATTTAGTTTCTTGACAAATTTATCTGCACACAAACACAACTACTGCACACAAACACAACTACTCGCCTTAATATGTATTACCCATTAAATACTGACGCAGTTCTGAGAAGGTAGACTCATATATTTTTAATATCAAATAGGAATCAAAATTTCACATTGATTTACATATAAATTTCTTAAATGTGGCACCTACACACTTGAAGTTATCTCTATGCCGTCGTCGAATTAAGAGAACTTTTTGAACGTTAAAAGTTAAGCTGCTGAGGGTTTTGCAAGTTATCAAAGCCTTTCCAGGATGCTGGGAATGGGTTCAACATGTTTTGCCATATACATGACAGTTGTTCCAAGAATCATGCCCTAGTTACCGTACACCAACGTTAAAAAGTTTTGCAGTCGATTAGATGAAGCCTTGTAGTTACGGGCGAAACTCGAAAAATTAGAGGAAGAAAATTATTTTGGCAACCCTTTGAAGGACCCCCTTCTGGGACACCTATTTATCCTCGTACTCATTGGAAAGCAGTCGAGGTTCAATCCGAGGAAGAGGAAAGGTAACTCCAATTGCTTGCATCAAGGTCCTTTCACTAGCATGAAGGAAGAGAGCCCTCGTGAAAGGGGGGGGTTATCTGGCGTAGAGAGACGTTATGGCCTTGTTCCACGCAACTCGAACACAAGATCCGAGTACAAGACTTACCCACTATGTCCGAGTACAAGACTTACCCACTGTCTGAGTACAAGACTTACTCACAAGGTCCGAGTACAAGACTTACCCACAAGGTCCGAGTACAAGACTTACCCACAAGGTCCGAGTACAAGACTTACCCACAAGGTCCGAGTGCAAGACTTACCTATGTCTGAGTACAAGACTTACCCACTATGTCCGAGTACAAGACTTACCCACTATGTCCGAGTACAAGACTTACCCACTATGTCCGAGTACAAGACTTACCCACAAGGTCCGAGTACAAGACTTATCCACAAGGTCCGAGTACAAGACTTATCCACAAGGTCCGAGTACAAGACTTATCCACAAGGTCCGAGTACAAGACTTATCCACAAGGTCCGAGTACAAGACTTATCCACAAGGTCCGAGTACAAGACTTATCCACAAGGTCCGAGTACAAGACTTACCCACAAGGTTCGAGTACAAGACTTACCCACAAGGTCCGAGTACAAGACTTGCCCACAAGGCCCGAGTACAAGATTTACCCACAAGATCCGAGTACAAGACTTACCCACAAGGTCCGAGTGCAAGACTTACCCACTATGTCTGAGTACAAGACTACCCACAAGATCCGAGTACAAGACTTACCCACTATGTCTGAGTACAAGACTTACCCACAAGGTCCGACTACAAGACTTACCCACAAGGTTCGAGTACAAGACTTACCCACAAGGTTCGAGTACAAGACTTACCCACAAGGTTCGAGTACAAGACTTACCCACAAGGTTCGAGTACAAGACTTGCCCACAAGGTCCGCGTACAAGATTTACCCACAAGCTTCGAGTACAAGACTTACCCACAAGGTCCGAGTACAAAACTTACCCACAAGGTTGGAGTACAAGACTTACCCACAAGGTTCGAGTACAAGACTCACCCACAAAGTCCGAGTACAAGACTTACCCACAAGGTTTGAGTACAGGACTTACCCACAAGGTCCGAGTACAAGACTTACCCACAAGGTCCGAGTACAAGACTTACCCACAAGGTCCGAGCACAAGACTTATCCACAAGGTCCGAGTGCAAGACTTACCCACAAGGTCCAAGTACAAGACTTACCCATTAGGTCCGAGTACAAGACTTACCCATTAGGTCCGAGTACAAGACTTACCCACAAGGTCCGAGTACAAGACTTGCCCACAAGGTGCGAGTACAAGATTTACCCACAAGCTTCGAGTACAAGACTTACCCACAAGGTCCGAGTACAAGACTTACCCACAAGGTCCGAGTACAAGACTTACCCACAAGGTCCGAGTACAAGACTTATCCACAAGGTCCGAGTGCAAGACTTACCCACAAGGTCCAAGTACAAGACTTACCCATTAGGTCCGAGTACAAGACTTACCCATTAGGTCCGAGTACAAGACTTGCCCACAAGGTCCGAGTACAAGACTTGCCCACAAGGTCCGAGTACAAGACTTGCCCACAAGGTCCGAGTACAAGATTTACCCACAAGGTCCGAGTACAATACTTACCCACAAGGTTCAAATACAAGACTTACCCACAAGGTTCGAGTACAAGACTTACCCACAAGGTCCGACAACAAGACTTACCCACAAGGTCCAAGTACAAGACTTACCCATTAGGTCCGAGTACAAGACTTACCCACAAGGTCCGAGTACAAGACTTGCCCACAAGGTCCGAGTACAAGATTTACCCACTAGGTCCGAGTACAAGACTTACCCACAAGGTTCGAGTACAAGACTTACCCACAAGGTCCGACTACAAGACTTACCCACAAGGTTCGAGTACAAGACTTACCCACAAGGTTCGAGTACAAGACTTACCCACAAGGTCCGAGTGCAAGACTTACCCACAAGGTCCAAGTACAAGACTTACCCATTAGGTCCGAGTACAAGACTTACCCATTAGGTCCGAGTACAAGACTTACCCACTAGGTCTTAGTACAAGACTTACCCACTAGGTCTTAGTACAAGACTTACCCACAAGGTCAGAGCACAAGACTTACCCACAAGGTCCGAGTACAAGACTTATCCACAAGGTTCGAGTACAAGACTTGCCAACAAGGTTTGAGTACAAGACTTGCCCACAAGGTCCGAGTACAAGACTTACCCACAAGGTCCGAGTACAAGGCTGACCCACAAGGTCCAAGTACAAGACCTACCCACTAGGTCTGACTACAAGACTTGCCCACTGGGTCTTAGTACATGATTTACCCACTAGGTCTGAGTACAAGACTTACCCACAAGGTCCGAGTACAAGACTTACCCACAAGGCTCGAGTACAAGGCTTACCCACAAGGTCTGAGTACAAGACTTACCCACAAGGTCCGAGTACAAGACTTGCCCACAAGGTCCGAGTACAAGATTTACCCACTAGGGCTGAGTACAAGACTCAAGAAATCGTAATGACACGATTGCAAACAAACCACGGTACGGGCTCACTCACCGCGGGTTCAATTCCCACCCATACCGAGATCTGAGTACAAGACTTACCCCCAAGGACTGAGTACAAGATTTACCCATGAGTGAGAAAAGTTGGATTTGAGAAGGACCTACCCAGTAGGTTTACTACACTACCTCTCAATTATTACATTCTTACTTCTACATGAGTGCCCTTCCTGTCCTGTCAAGATTATATGTGCCTGACAGTTAATAAGTCTCCATTTTGTTACTTCAATGTCACAGCGTTCCAGACCATGGAGGAGAACTCTGTTGTTCCAGGCTGAGGGACTGACCACCTCATAACTACGTCTTCATAGTTATGATGGATTGATTATTTCGTCTTTACATCGCTAATGGTTCTGCTGCCTCCTCTGTATTCGAGTGAAGAAGCCTACTGTGTAGTTGACACGTTTCGTAATAGATACCTAACTGCTGCATATGTCTTACCTTACCAACTTGTCGATATTGTGTACTGTTATCATATATTATATTCGCCTAGTTCTTTAGAGTACATCAGAGTGTGGGACTAGTTAGACACCTTGAGAATAGCGCAGGCGACTCCTGGAACCTGACACTAGGTGAGTCAGGCTTGTCTTGGCGTGTTGTTGGTGTAATGTGACCCGGGTGGTCTAGCTGGATAAGTTACTTGATACTGTCGCTCTCCTGCTCCTGTCTCCCATGACGGAGAAACTGATTATATTTGCTTCCTGTCTTCTTCTGTTTGTCTTCCATGTGGTCACAGGCGTCTGGAGATCACAAGTGAATATCGTCTGTCTTGCCTGTGGTCACAGTCGTTTTGGGAAGAAAAAGATACAAAATATGTCTATCTTTGTCTCTCTCTGTTCACTTACCTTTATGTCTCTGATTCTCCTGGTCTCGCCGTTGGGGATTGACATGACACAGACAGCAGAGATGATGAAAAGGTTGAAGGCGGCCGAGCCTACGATGGTGCCGGGGCCCAACTCGCCGCTTTCGAAGTTGTTACCGATGACTTCGATGATGGAGAGAAGGATCTCCGGCGCTGACGAGCCGAGGGCCATTAGTGTGAGGTTGGCCACTGCGTCGCTCCAGATCCGCACCTCTATCACCTCCGGCTCGTCCTCCTTCTCTGAGGTCAGATAAACCTGCAACAGAAGTCACAAGACTGAGTGAGGGTGGTAGGTGAGGAGGGGAGGAAGATAAGGAGGGGAGGAAGATAAGGAGGGGAGAAAGAAGTAGAGAGATGAGAGCAGTAGGTAAGGAGAGGGAGGCAGATGAGAGGAGAAAGAAGTGGATAAAAAAAGATAATGATAATGCAGATAAATGGTATTAAGTAGATAGGTGTGACATTTATGAAGCGCACTGACACAGCAGGTAACTCGGCGCTCATAACCATTAACAAAATATACAACACAATAAAAACAAGGATAAAACAAATAATAATTAACAAACACAAGTATTAACATACCAAGTTAAAAAACAACAACATAAAATTGCCAAACTACTTCCCTAAAAGTTCCCCGGGTTTCCTACAGGCAGATCGGTTATTATAAAACACATAACCAGAGGCAAATACTGTTTGCCATACACATTTTCAATTAATGGTCAATTTTCATTATTACATTGACCAATGACCATAAAGAAGCACGATAGTTTCAGAAATTTCACATACATGCTGAAAAATCTTTTTATTTTTTTAAAGACGATTTCTCTTTCGTTTATTTCATCATCTTATCATTTTTACGTCTCTCTTCCTTCCCCAAGTGAAATCCTAGCTTAAGGGGCACGTAGGTTCCCCTGTCTTCTTATAACATGTTAGTGGAAAAATGAATATGTTATTAGAAGACGGGGGAACTTATGTAACTCTGAAGCCTCCCTCCCCTCCCTTTCCTTTCCTTCCCCTCTCCTCCCTTTCCTTTCCTTCCCCTCTCCTCCCTTCCCTTCCCTTCCCACCTCCCCTCCCCTCGCATACAATCATAGCTGCGCTACTGGGTATGAGAGATGTGTGTGTGCTCGATCCTCAGTGGACAGGGATTCATCAAATATTTGCCATAGGTTCTCTCATCTTTCCCTTTTCACCCAGTCTTTGCCATTTTCCCTTCGTCCTCTTTCTTCCTACCAGTCTTTCATTTTCTACCAGACTCTCTCATATCCTCTGAAATAAGTTTTATTCAGGTAATCTACATATGATTTGTATTTATTATCTAAACATAGAAAATATTTCCACTCAATACAGTTATTATAAACATTGTATTGTATTCCATGACGCGTTACACCCATGAGGATCATTAAGCGAGAAGAGTGTTGGAGGCTCGATCCTCCATCCGATAATCGTGGTACGTTATGCAAATTTAACCTAAGATAACTCAATAAAGTCAGCCACTGACTGGCGAAACGTTTCCACAAATAAAGATTCCCAAACGTTGCACAGTGTGTCATCCTTCAATTTATCCGTTTCCTAAACCATTTACATCATGTGAGTTATGCTTGAGTTATTAACCTTGGTAATCTCACCTTGCGGGTCTTGCTGGTGATCTTCTCGATAGCACCCATGAAGATATCAGCGATGATAGCCACGCCCAGGAAGCAGTAGAGGAGCCCCGCCAGGTACAAAAAGGCTCGCACTCCCTCCGGCCAAGTGTACTCGGAGAAGAACGGCAGGAGAAGACCCAGACGAGCGCATCTGTCCAAGAAACACAGGTCATAACGAGTAACACCGCAACCCGCAAGACAAAAGTCTCCTAGTATACCAGTGATTCTCAACCAGGGGTAAACTTACCCCTTGGGGGTAAAAAACTACATGGCAAAGGGTAAATAATTGATGTACCTGATAACTGAATAATTGAATAATTTATTTGTTTCTGACCTTCTTATATTTCTGTCCCTTTATGATGGCGATAATTTTTTTTTTGTATGGAAGGGGGTAAATAGAGAAATACATCAAGCCGAGGGGATTAATGATGGAGGAAAAGTTGAGAATCCCTGTAGTATACCCTGAGGGTGGAAATTCCGGGGGTCAACGCTCCCGCGGCCCGTTCCATGACCAGGCCTCGTGGTCAAAGATTTTCAACAAGTCAAATGCCTTCCTGTGTTCAAAGCTTATCAAGAAGTCAAAACCTTAGTGATCAAAGCTTATTTACTGATGAATTCGAGGTTCCACGAAGCTGGACCTGGGGCAGCACGCATGAACAAGCTATTAAGGAAGATGGAACCTTCACTGATGACAATAAGAAAGTGAGCGAAATACTGAGGACATAAAAGGACTCAATGATCAGTGACCCAAATGAATCTGTCACAAATACAACACCGAAGTCTCCTACATAACCCCACTCCACTTCGAGGGATCTCTCTTAAGCAAGGATTCCATATTTTTGTTGGCTTTGGCCCTCGATTTTGCACAAGAGGAAAAGTAAGAGTAAAAGGGTCATTTTCAGTTTCATTAGTCGCTGATGCAGCTTTTAGATTTTAAAAGAGGATGAACTGAGGAGACTTTACCATTCAACAATTAAATTAATACAAGGGATGAAATCTAATTCAGCAAAAGATATAAAGAACCACAAACTGAACTAGGAAACTTAGATTGTTAAGGAGGATCTGCGGGTGATTGATATAAACAGTGAATAACAAATACACGAGATAACTCAATAAGTATCAAAGCTTGATCCTAAGACCTTTCAACACTCCCAACCATCTTTCACACACCCACAATTATATATAATTATATATATATATATATATATATATATATATATATATATATATATATATATATATATATATATATATATATATATATATATATAATATGTCGTGCCGAATAGGCAGAACTTGCCATCTTGGCTTAAATAGCAACGCTCATCTTGCCATATAGGACAAGTGAAAATTTGTGTATGCAATAATTTCGCCAAAATCATTCTGAACCTAACGAAAAAAATATATTTCACTGTGTTTCTTTAGTATTAAATTATTGTAAACAAATCTAAAATATATTTAGTTGGGTTAGGCTAAAATAAATTGTTCTTGTTATAATAAGGTTAGGTAAGTTTTCTAAGATTCTTTTGGTGCAAAATTATAAATTTTTACATCAACGTTAATGAAAAAAATATATCTTTAAACGTATAAGAGAAAATTTTAGAGAGGACTTAATTTTAAATGAGTTCTTGCTAATTGACCAGTTTTACATATTCGGCACGACATATATATATATATATATATATATATATATATATATATATATATATATATATATATATATATATATATATATATATATATATAAACTCACGAAATCGTAATGACACGATTGCAAATAAACCATACCACGGGCGGGATTTGAACCCGCGGTCAGAGTCTCAAAACTCCAGACCGTCGCGTTAGCCACGGTGGCTAGCTTTTCCAGTGGCTAACGCGACGGTCTGGAATTTTGAGACTCTCTGACCGCGGGTTCAAATCCCCCCCGTGGTATGGTTTACATATATATATATATTATATATATATATATATATATATATATATATATATATATATATATATATATATATATAATATATATATATATATATATATCTCGTGACTTTTTAGACACGGAAGACAACATCTCAAGTCGACTTCTCTACAATTTCGAAGTTTCCTGGCTAGACCTGTCATTTTAGGAGAACTACCAACACCGGAAAGATATCAGTTAAAACGCCTATGTTTTCATGTTATTCAGGGTTCCCAAACTCTGCGAATAACCAGAAAATACTTACTGTATCACAAGACGGGCAGCCACTCACATTTCCACTTTAGCTAAACCTTTAAAGGTCATCACTCCACCAGAAGTTATTTATTCCTCAAGTGACTTATATTTGGAACATACTCTCCTAGCAGAAAAATATCTGAAAACCCAAGCTAGTAAACAAGTAGACAAGTTCTTGCTCACAGTTGGGTTCAACTTCACCCTGTAACCCAAAATTGGTATTGCAAAGCATTAAGTATACAATACAAAAGAAATCACTGTATGAAGCAGCACCACTCATGTAAAACTTTGAGGTAGGACTGAGGTAAGATAGCAGTTCCTAGGTTGTAAAATACCTATACATACGTGTAGTATTTCCGTTCAGAGCACTTAACTGCTAGTTAAAAGAATGAGAACGAAAGAGTGAAAACTAGAAATTGAAAACAAGAAAGTAAAATTGACTGATAACGAAAAAGTACGTGAGAACGACAAATATAGAAACTGAGGAAGAGAAAGAGAAAAAAATGAGAATGAGAGAGTGAGCTAACAAGAAAGTGAGCGAGAACGAGAAAGTAGAATAAGAAAGGGAGAGAGAATGAAAAAGCAGAATGAGAAAATGAGAGAACAATAAAATAAGTGAAGTGGGAGAACGACAGAGAACACGCAAGCGAGAAAACATACACAACGACTCACTTGCCGCAAGTTCAAGCCCTACCCGTACGGTAGTTTGCAATCGCGTCATTACGATTTCGCGAGTGAAGAGAGTGACATTAATAACAATAAACGTGAGTTAGTCACCTGTAGCCACTGTAGACATCTTCCTCACTGATATAGGTGTTGTTGTTTATAAGGTATGAGTTACCAGGTCCTGGCTCCGCCACCACCACCTGGTCTAGGCTCAAATCTAGCCGCTCCTCGGTAGCCATCCTCCTCCTCCACGCTCAGTCCTGATGGATAAGGGATATGTGACGTTAGTTGCCTGCACAATATTCATTGGTCGTTTTAATTTTTTTTGAAGTGCGCTTTGACCGTGTAGGTCATTCAGAACTCTTGGTAATACAAAATACGTATATATATCATACACACAGATAAAAATAAATGTAAAATTAACACACAATAAGAACTACGCACATGAAAATAACACGTAAATACAGTGTGTGTGTGTGTGTGTGTGTGTGTGTGTGTGTGTGTGTGTGTGTGTGTGTGTGTGTGTGTGTTTTCCTCAGTCGACAGATTGAGAATTCCTGTTGAAATAATAAGGCACGACCCCCACCTCCAGCAGAACTTGCTTCTTGTCAGTAGTGCCCAACAAAATCACCATTACTCAAAAACGTATCTACTGATGTGGCTCAGGAAATTGCTGAAAGGCACAAGCTTGCTAAAGAGGATGCTCGCAATGGCAACTTCCCATTCATTACCCAGGACATCAACAGAATTCCGCATCCTTTTGCAAATTTTGGAGATGAGCTAACCATTCCTGATTCTTCTGGACCACAGGGTGGACAGAAGCATATTGAATATCCATAAATATCCATCTGCCCACTTTTCTATTTTTTTTATTTTTGCAAAGTGTGTGTACATGATATTTGCATTTTGCTTGTATGCTAGTTCATCCCAGACCCTGTCATAACAGTCCTGCAGCTGCGAGAGGCAGGAGCGACCTGCTCTAAACCCATGTTGCCTTGAGTAGTGCATTTGCTGTGAATCCATGTATTCAGTAATCTCGCTTTTTAAAACTCACTCAGATATTTTAATGTGAGATGTCTGTGCTATCGGTCTATAGGTTTTAGCGTTTGCTTTACTGCCACCTTTGTGGGGCTCTGTTATATTAGAGGTTTTTGATGACTGTGGGATGACTACATACAATGTTTAAGGCACTTTATCTTGGTTTCTTGTATTTCTTAACGAATATGAAGTTCCACGAATCTGAGCCTGAGGCAGAGCGTATGGGCATGCTCTTAATGGCTTTAAAGTCGAATGCGATTAGGGTTATGTCAGAAATTATGGAGATATTAGCAGAGCTTTGAGTGGCATCTATGAAAAAGTAAGTCATTTAGTATAGCTTTCTTTCGACTGATTAACAACTGACTGAATACAGTCGTTTTATGACTTCAGTACTTCACTCAGTTCTTTGTTGTCATCTCCTTTAAGCAAGGGCCCGAGACCAAAAATGTTTTTTACCCTGGATTTTGCGTATGAGAAAAAAATATTCTTATTTTTTTCAATTTCATATTTGGCTTTGTTACTCCCTCTGCCTCTCCTGGACTCTGGATTTATTTGAGTTCTTTTTGTCTAACCACTATTTGTTTCAGTAAGACAGCAGCCTACGAGAAGTTTTGTGACTCTTCGTCTTGGCCTGTTGAGGGAGCACCTATCTCTCTCTCTCTCTCTCTCTCTCTCTCTCTCTCTCTCTCTCTAAGTTGCATCCTCTCTTTTTTTTCTTAATAATGGAAGTGTCAGGAGCCTAGTTCTAATGTCATTAAGCTCTAGACACTCGTACTATCCTCCCAATACGTTTTAGAGAGGTCATGATTTATTTGATCCTAGTAAATTTTTAATATTGAAGTTCAAATGGTTGAATACCCTCATGACTGATTGTTTTGCTGCTCAGGGCCGGTGGGTATGCAGGTCTGAAGTGCGATTATGTTGATGGTCTGAGTTTGCCGAATTGGACACCATTATGTTCCGTACCAGATCCTCATTATTTGTGAATGTAATGTCAATGGCACTTAAAAGCTTGGTCAGTGCAGTTATTTGCTGTCTTAAGGCGAATGTAATACAATCTTTCAGTTGTTCATTTATGCATGACTTTTCATACGAACTGGCTTCTGAGATTTTTTGTTTTCTGATACTACAGTATTTACTACTTTCATCCATTTTAAATGTCTTAAATTAAAAGCCTCAATCAACAGGATATTTGGGGCCGAGCAGAGAAGATTTTCAAGACAGTAATCGATTTTCAGACACACACAGAGACAAACAGATACAGAGACAGAGACAGACACAGACAGAGAGAGAAAGAGAGACTGATATAGCGAGAATAGATTGTACAAAATCGATGAAGGAACAGAATCCTGGGTTAAATATGACACTTAATAGATCGTTACAGTTATACATCAAGCAAGTAACTTTGGCAGCGTATGCGAGGCTTGTGAACCTCCCTACTATCTTCAGCGACCCTAACAAATCGCTCACTGTGACGCTTTACGCAACGCTACTTGAAAATTTAGAAATTTGCAATCTGACTGGTTTCGGAACTGCTTAGGAGGCACTATAACTAAATACGAAAGCAACTGGTGTTAAGAATGTTTACAAAGTAGTACCAGGAGAAGCCATTACTACCAAGTACAAATCATTGAGAAGAATGTCGAGTATGTATGTTTACCAGTGTCACATACAAGTCAGGTCACCAACTCAGTCTGATTCATCTGGTGGCGTGGAGATAGTTTTCTTTGCCTTTATTTTCTTTTACTACTTGGTCGTGGACTGTGTTATTCCATGCCTCATCCTTCACTCCTCTCCAGCATACCTAAGTTATTATATCCTTAATGGACACTTCACTTGATTATGGTGCATTTAATATTGTGTTGGCCATTACGGTATCGGTACTGCTTTCACCATAGTTAATGAAATATGTCGTGTCGCCCTTTTCTATAGGGCCTTTAGCCATTATACTAGTTTCTGTCTGTTAACTTGTATGTTTGTACTCTTAGCCAACAGGCTTGGAGTCCGTTACTCAAACAGTGAGAGTAAGACAAAACGGTTTAGTAGTGTTTGCTAAGTGATAGCATCTATAATTCGTTCAATTTTCTGAGATAAGTGATAGCTTAAAACTGCCTGTGCACTGTGTCAAATGTACCAATCAAACTTCTTTACCTTCCCTGGCCCACTGAATGTGTCAGCTCTGACTACTGGGTCACCTCATTTTCCCGCGGTACATTCTGAAATCTTTTCCATCCGAGGCAAGTACCTGGCCGCACTTTCTTATTAAAGTGATTCAGTCTGACATCAGTACAACTAATGTCTGAGGATTTATTTCAGAGGTTTCTTATATATTATGTTTTATTATTTTTCTTATACTGTTTAAATATTTTTTGATGTTATATGTAATAATAATAATAATAATAATAATAATAATAATAATAATAATAATAATAATCATAATAATAATAATAATTTGGATTTTTGTCACTATTTTCAATACCTTTTTAAAACGCTGTTGTTAGTTTCCATATTTCCATGAAAGAGAGGACGATTTCCCTAATATTTATGGTCGACACTGTCCTTGCCTTTGTTACTCCCTTTTCATGCAAATAAGGATAGTCATGTGAATTATGAGGCCCGAAAAAAAAAAGTCATAAATGGAAACTAAAATTGCAGAGGAGCCATAGGAAAGTTGGAAAACAAACTTTTAGTTTGAAAGTTGTGAGAAGAGTGGAATATACTAGACGCGAAAACAGCAAAGGCAGACTCTGTACAGTTTCAAAACATGGGAGGTCTGGTACGGGACCTAAAAGCGGAAGCGGCGACCCCCGAAATCAACTTCTGGTAGACTCCAGGCAGGTAAGTGATGACATGGCCCAGGAGAACAACATTAAGTTTATTTAGGCACAGGTACACATAAGTACATTTGTTATACATAGTGTAAATTACCTAGGATAACCCCAAAAGGTCAGACAAAGTGACTTATTTCCATTGGGGTCCTTGTGTCAGTAATGGTAATCAATATAATTTTTAAAAACCAAGGCCAGAAGACATGAATTTATTCGAGCAAAGTCGTGATGGCGAGTGGAGAAATCAAGACAAAAGTACCTGGAGGGAGGTCACTCGTCCCTAGGCGTCAACATAACACCCACCAAATATAAAACTTGTCCAACATTTCACAGTCACGGTGAAAATCTGTACAGAGTGAGATGAATGGCCAGGAGGGACCAACCATTTATCTTCCTCCCTCACCTCTGCTTTATTCCACACAATCTTCTTTCCCCAATTTCCTCTCTTACTCCTATCTCCTTCATTCAATATTGTTGTATATGCAAAAACTTTTTTTCTGAATTTTCTTCTCACCTACTGTTTTCTTTTCTCTTACTCTCCCCATCTTTCCTTTTTCCTTCCAGTGTACACTCTTTCCTTCCCTGCTGCTCTCTACAACATTATCGGCAGTGCTGTTCTTCCAGGCTTCATCAGTTAGCATGACTTAAGAAATCGTAATGACACGATTGCAAATAAACCATACCCCCGGCCGGGATTGAACCCGCGGTCATAGAGTCTCAAAACTCCAGCCCGTCGCGCTAGCCACTAGACCAGCTAGCCACAATAAGATTCATCCAACTAGGTATATTTCTACACCAGAGCTAGAGTTCGTCACGGCCACGCTAGCTGGAGATTCGTCTGTAAAAACTTGCATTTGTGGTCACAGAGGTGCCTGTGCTAACTTTCCTATGGTGTAGAAATATACCTAGTTGGATGAATCTTATTGTGGCTAGCTGGTCTAGTGGCTAGCGCGACGGGCTGGAGTTTTGAGACTCTATGACCGCGGGTTCAATCCCGGCCGGGGGTATGGTTTATTTGCAATCGTGTCATTACGATTTCTTAAGTCATGTTTACGGCAGTGAAGGGACTTGAGCTAGAGTTCGTCACGGCCACGCTAGCTGGAGATTCGTCTGTAAAAACTTGCATTTGTGGTCACAGAGGTGCCTGTGCTAACTTTCCTATGGTGTAGAAATATACCTAGTTGGATGAATCTTATTGTGGCTAGCTGGTCTAGTGGCTAGCGCGACGGGCTGGAGTTTTGAGACTATGACCGCGGGTTCAATCCCGGCCGGGGGTATGGTTTATTTGCAATCGTGTCATTACGATTTCTTAAGTCATGTTTACGGCAGTGAAGGGACTTGAGCTAGAGTTCGTCACGGCCACGCTAGCTGGAGATTCGTCTGTAAAAACTTGC